CTTAGAGAAAAGTTGAAAAACTTGAATCAGTCTATTCACCCCCCCTCTAAACTGATTACCAACTCAAACGGGACCAACAGGGGCACAACATCTCGAAGGCTCTGAACAAGATTGTTAAAGTATCAGAAATGTATCTCCAACAAATCTGGGAAACACTGCAAGAGGAAAGAGAGATGCCTCCGGTGCTAAAATCCTCAAGGCCACAATTGACAACACAGAAGTCCCCATCACCAAAGAGCTACCACTACTAGAAAATTGCTTTCTAACCAGGAACAAAATGGTCGTTATATGGTCTCAAAGTCATCGTTAAAGTCATTCAACGACAAAATGAATTTCGTCGTTGAGTCGTCGTAATAGGCTTCGTCGTTAAAAGTTATAATGACGACGTTCGTCGTTAAATGTTATAACGACGAGGTTCATCGTTAAAACGTAACAACAACATAAGAGATCATCGTTAATTATTAGCTACGACATTTGTGTTCATCGTTACTTAATATAAAAACAACATATTCATCGGAATTTATTGACTTCAAATTTGATTATTTTTTATTTTTAGACATATTAATAAGACCAACTATTACACAATGAGCACTAATGTACTTTGTTGATTCTGAACTGCTGCTTTAATTAGTATTGAGGACAAAAACAATAAATACTCACAAGTCACAACCAAGATGAATTTTAAGTTTAAATCTGCAATGTCAAATTTACATGTAAGGGTCGTTCTTTTATTGAGAAAAATGAAAATTACATGACAGGTTCTACCAAATAAAAGAAAAAATATGAAAGACCCCCAAACAGAACTCACTCCAAATACCTATAACCTATTTAAACAACAACAACAATAAAGATATTAGAAATTAATAAATGAAGTATGCAAGTTCAATCATACTTGAGAAATTAGGGTGTTTTTACTTGGACTGTAATTTGCTGGTCTGGTCTGAACTGGTCTGGGCTGGTCTGGTAATGTCTAGTTTCTTTGTATTTTTATAACTACCCAAGTCTGGTCTGGTCTGGTCTGAACTGGTCTGGGACAAATTACAGTCCAAGTAAAAACACCCTTACGTTTAAATAACTTAGAGAACAACTATGTAATGTCTTAGCCATATGTTTAAAATACACAAGCTTAATACTATAAATACTACCGAGTATGTTCCAAAAAGAAAAGCTCAAAACAATATAGACATGCATGAAAAACCGGCACTCATATGTGTTAGCTAGCTATTGTCATATCACTACATTTTAACATTAAATTAACCATATTTGATACAAAATAAAATAACCGATTTGCGAGTAAAGGGATTAGATGGAGACATTGAGATTTTTTTAGTAGACAAAAAATAGTTGGTGATATGGGGTTTAGAAGGCCCGTTGACTTTAGTATGTATCTCTATGCTAGACAAACAAGTTTGGAGAAATTTCACAATTCCCGACACTTTAGTTGGAAGGTTTTTTCGATCCCAGTATTATCTTGGAGGTACTTTTTGACCACAAAACATGGGAGTAACCCCTCTTATATGGCGAAAGTATTTTCCAAACCCCAAATATTATCAAGGAAGTGTAATGTTGGTGTACCGGGGATGGAAATTCTATTAACATTGGGAAAGATCCTTGGTTACCCGATGAGAATCAAATGAAGGTGCTGACCCGCCCCCGTTGAAGGTTTACAAAATGAAATGTTTATAAATCACCTCAGTGTGTTGAATCAGGCGTGAGGCTTGAATATTCTTAAGGACAATTCTGCCCCAAGAGATGTGTTTTTAATTAAGATTTTCTTTTAGGTACACATTTAGTGCAAGACATGTTTTGTTGGAGATGGGAACCTGGGAGCCACTTTATCGTTCATAATTGCTATGTGAAATTGATTGGGGAGTTTACTTGTACTGAGTGGATGGGATGGACATTCATGCATGTGGAATCTTAAGTTACCATTGAAGATAAAAAGTTTCTTTTCTCAGGTATGTATTGGGTGTTGTCGATAACGAAGAATTTGAGAATCTGGAAGGTTGACTGGGTGGAATGCGACCTCTACGGCAGAGGAGATGAATCATTGCTTCACCTTTTTATCACCTGTTCGGGGCAATATAGGCGTGGAATGCAGGTGGTTGGAGGTGGATAAATCCTATAACGAGCTTCTGGGGATGTTGGAGTATCTGGTGCGAGAGAAATCAGAGGGTTTGGTATGGGGTTCTTGTGGAGGCCAACTTTATTTTGGAGAAAACTAAGGGCCTGTTTACTAACAGAAATATTTTCCAGTTTTTCAGAAAACTGGAAAACTGGAAAACAGAAAATAAGAAACGTGTTTACCAAAGAAATTCCTGGAAAACTGGAGAAAGGAAAAAAGAAAAACGCGTTTACCAAATCGTTTTCCAAAACGGAAAAAATGAAACATGTCTCTCTTTTTCTTAATGATTTGGAGAAGTGACTTTTACTAGTTTTCCAAATTTGGAAAACGCAGATGCTACAGTGACTCTGCAATGAATTTGCATACATGCACCTAGTGGTGGGTCCGGTCCCGCTCCGATATCGATTCCATTCTGGTACCTCCATCCTCGTACCTTACCCCTACCCTACCCTACCCACCCTACCCCCACCCCGCATACCCATTTTTCCCTATAATGACCTTACCCCACCCCCCACCACATGCCCCGACCTCGGCCCCGCCCCGATCCACCCTACCCCTACCACCTCGACCCCACCTTGATCCACCCTACCTTACCGCCACCCCTACCACCTCGACCCCACCCTGACCCACCCTACCCTACCCCCACCACTCGTATATTACCACTTACCCCTACCTTACCCCTTACCACATGCCTCCTACCTCGGCCCCACCCTCCGCCATCCTACCCCCACCCTCGTACCGCCATCCTACCCCCACCCTACCCTACCTCGGCCCCACCCGGATCCCGGGCCCACCCTACCATCATCCTACCCCACCCCTACCTTACCCCAACCCCAAACCCTACCCACTACCCCCACCCTTACCGCCATCCTACCCCCACCCTACCCCTTCCCCACCCTGGTCCCGACCCCACCCTACCGCCATCCTATCCCAACTCCCTACCCTACCCCTACCTTACCCCAAACCCTACCCACTACCCCCACCCTTACCGCCATCCTACCCCCCACCCTACCCCTTCCCTACCCCGGCCCCACCCTGGTCCCGACCCCACCCTACCGCCATCCTATCCCAACTCCCTACCCTACCCCTATCTTACCCTAACCCTACCCACTACCCCACCCTTAACCCTAACCACGACCCTAACCCACCCACTACCCCCACACAACCCCCTACCCCTAGACCTTACCACCCCACCCCGACCATACCCCTTACCCCACCCCCACCCATACCCTACCCCGACCCCTATGAGTAGATATGGGTGGGTATGAAGGGTTGTGGTGGAGTATGGGTAGAGTGTAAGATCGTGGTAAGGGTAGAGGTAGGGGTCAAGGGTGTGGAATTGGAGAACTGTGTGAAAAAATTGATGAACATGTTTTCAAATTTGAAAATGGAAAACTAAAAAATAGAAACAGAAAATTGGAGATAGAAAAACTGAAAAATAAAAACAGAAAATTGGAGAACGAAAAACAGAAGTAGAAAACAGGAAAATATTTCTGTTAGTAAGCAGGCCCTAAGATTTTCATTGCAAGGTGGGAAAAGGTGCATCAGACAATAGCGAGCAGGGTAGCAGGGTAGTGAAGGGATGTTCGCGTTGGAGGCGTCCTATCATAGAAAAACTTAAGCTGGATGTGGATGTTCCGGTGAGGGATGATCAATGTGGCCTTGGCAGGATTTTGAGGAACGAAGAAAAGAAGTTTGTTGCAAGGAGTCTATGCCGTGCCCGGGGAAGTCAACACATTGTGAGGCAGAACTAATTGGATTCACGAAGGCTCTCAGTTTGACTCATGAACAAGGCTGGACTTGGTACGTAGACGTGGAATATGATGCTTCTCGGGCTATTTTAGAGATTCGAAAAGGCACTAGTTGTTCGACACATGTTGATAGCGGATAATATTAGAGAAAAGCAATAAATTTTCACTAGCATTTCTTTTGCACATGTTAAGCGATTTGTGAGTTAGCTTAAGCATGAAGTAAACTTTGATTTTTTCCATATATTGCAGTAAACTTTGGTCTTATTAATGACATTAAATTTCCCCCACCAAAAACATTGTGATGTTAACGTTTTGTCTGCTTTAACAACAATCTTTTTGTTGTGAGTTGAAATTTCAATATATCAAAGAAGTTATGTTGGAATAAACACTTCTTTAAATCTCCGAATATTGCCTAAAATACTAATAGAATCTTTTAAGTAAATTCATTTTGATTCTTGCGTTGTGATGCACCACGTGAGTCGGCGGCGAGGCCAGTCTGGTTGGGGTGTGTTCGAATAATTATTTTTGTAGTCATTTTAGTAAAAATTATAACATTTATATTTTATGATAATATTTGGACAAAGAACATTTTAAATACTTTCGTATAATTAGTTTGTGATTCTTATAGGGAGTGTTTGGATCTGATTCTTAAAACTGTTTCTGCTCCTTCAGGGAGCAGAAACACAAGTTGAAGTGTTTGGGTGAAAGAGCCGAAGTGATTCTGGTGCTCAAATTTACTCCTAGAATCAGTTTTTTTAGAAGCTGGGGGTGACTAGTTTCTGAAAACTGATTCTGATTCTGCTTCTGCTTTAAAAAATAAGCAGAAGCAGAATCAGTTCCAAACACCCCCTATTGGATTTGATTCTAAAACTGCTTCTGCTTCTTCAGGGAGTAGAAACAAAAGTTGAAGTGTTTGTGTGAAAGTCCAGAAGTGATTCTGGAGCTCTAATTTACTCCTAAAATCAGTTATTTTAGAAGCTGGGGGCACCAGCTTCTGAAAACTGATTCTGATTCTGCTTTTACTTTAAAAAAGAAACAGAGGTAGAATCAGTTCTAAACACCCCCATAATTCTATTTTTTCATCTACACAAAGCCATAATATTTACTTCATACTCCGTAATTCTTGTAGGAATAAATACTCCGTATGTTCTTGTACGAATCGTTTGTGGGACGTGAAATCCCATATGCGCGCTTAGCCCTAGTCCAGGCTCACCCTCGGATCACTTCCACACTGGTTCTAAGTTCTAACAGGCCATTTCTTTCCCGCCAGATTCCCTCTTACTTCTTTATTTCCCGCCAATCGCAAACCCTAAGATTTGAGTAGTCTCGGAGGGAGAGAACGAAGTGCCGGTTTAACCAGCCAGCATTTCAGCTGACATTTGGATTTCAGAATAATCTCCGGTGACTGAAGCAAGTCGCGCAGAAGCTCCGTTCGGTGGGTGCATTGTGGCGGCTTTAGCTGTTAGGCCACTCTCGCTTCTTCAACTTCAACATTTCATCATTCCGGCAGGCTGCTAACCCCAGGCCCCTAGCTATTTAGGCGGTAAAAGGTATATTTTTCTGAGTGATTATCTCTGAGTATGTCTTTCTACTAGGCTGATCTTGAAGGTGCTATCTTTCCCCATTTGGCATGTTATCTTTGATGCATACTTGATGCGCTATGAGATTTCTCACAAAGTCACAATCAGAATGATTTACTATTATTGATGTGAGCATTGCGTTTTCTAAAATATGATTCCGTCCTGTAGACTCCACACCCAGTAAGGGAAGAGCACTGGTGGAAGCATCACATGGATTTGAGCGATGAAATCAGGGCTGCTCATAAGCGGACATTTCTCAAGTTTTTCGAACAAACTGTAACTCATACTTCTTCACGCCCTGTCATTCCTAATACAATCAGAACCTAGTGCTAAAATTTTCATCTTTTCTACTTTCCAAATAAATACTGTCTACTGATTCATTAAAAACAGGAGCTGGACACCCAATTTAAACTTCAATTTGATTCCATGGTGAACAATACACGACATCGATTCATTATCAACCTCAATGATCTCTACAGTGATAGAGAAGGCTCTGATTTGGCCCGCAGGTGTCTTTGAAGAACATTTCTTGCATTTTTTCTGCATCTGTTCTGCTATTGATTTCTTGTCTGACTTCAAGTGTTTCATTGTTCGCTGAAATTTACAGGCTTCTTCAGAATCCCAGTGAGTATATGCAACCATTATGTGATGCATTAACAGATTTGTTTCGTGTGCACAATCCCAAGTACTTGAAGGAAGGAGAGCAAGTGCTTGTTGGATTCACTGGTCCTTTTGTTTCAAGGAGAGTGACCCCAAGGGAGCTTCTGTCCAGTTTCATAGGTTCTATGGTCTGCATCCAGGGCATTGTTACAAAATGTACACATCTCTAGTTATGCATGCTTCAAAAGAATTTCACTTTTTGATATATGGTTTTTGGCTCTAGTAATAAAGAAAATTTACTTTGATGGCTCATACCTATACAACATGCTGTGTTTATCAACTCATTGGATTGAAACTGTATTACAGTTTGAGCTCACTCTGATGAATTTGCCGGTCTTGTTTAACTTATCAGTCAGGGAGCTTGTCACTTAAAAGATAGTATATACACAGACATGTTTGTATCTATTTTCGTGTGAATATTTTATTTACACAGACACACACACACATGAATGTAGGATGTGTACATGTGTGTTTAGGCATACATTATATACATGCATACAAATGGATGTCAGAATGTGTACACATGTGTATTCGAATTTCGATAAAATTTTCCTTTTATTGTTTTTAGCTGTGGCATCATGAATACAAATGAAATGTTCTGTAGCTGCCAATATGTCATTGCAGATTTGCAGCTAATAAATTCAATAGGAACAATTTAATAATCTGTTTATACTTCACGCTTGGTGTATGTGTTGTTTAATTCTATCTCAGTCTCTCTTGTGAGGCCAAAGGTTGTAAAGAGTGTCCATTTCTGTCCTGACACCAACAAATTCACAACCCGGGAATATAGAGATATTACATCCAATGTTGGACTGCCGACAGGCTCTGTGTATCCGACACGGGTAACCTTCTAAGGTCCTACTTTGAAGTTCTCTATTTAGTTTCCAAAAGAAGTGTATGTGGAATGTAATATTCATTTCAGGATGAGAGTGGCAATTTGCTAGTTACTGAGTATGGGCTTTGTACATACAAAGATCACCAAACATTGTCAATTCAAGAGGTGCCTGAAAACTCTGCTCCTGGTCAACTTCCTCGAACTGTGGATGTTGTTGTTGAAGAAGACCTTGTGGATTCATGCAAGCCCGGGGATCGTGTCGCAGTTGTTGGGATATACAAAGCACTTCCGGGAAAAAGCAAAGGGAGCATGAACGGAGTATTCAGGTTGTGTAAAAATCATTATCTTTGCGTTCTTATCAATCCATATATTCCTTTCCTTCATATCATACTCATTGTTGATTGTTTGTATACCATGTACTCAAATTTCTTGTGTAGGACTATTCTCATAGCTAACAATGTATCTCTTCTCAACAAGTCAGCCCATGTTCCGAACTACTCAACACAAATCTTAAAGAACATTCAAACAATTTCTTCAAGAGATGATACATTCGACCTTCTTGCAAACTCACTTGCTCCTTCTATTTATGGTCATTTGTGGATAAAGAAAGCAGTGATTCTATTAATGCTTGGTGGAGTTGAAAAGAACTTGAAAAATGGAACCCATTTGCGAGGGTGAGATAAGCTGCTACTATATAGTCTTTGTATTTCTCGAATGTTGTGTCATGCAATGCTCGAATGTTGGAAGACTGCCATTGATTGTTTCCCTGATCGGCACTGTTTCAATATTTGCAGTGACATAAATTTGATGATGGTTGGGGATCCTTCTGTTGCAAAGTCTCAGCTGCTAAGAGCAATCATGAACATTGCCCCTCTGGCAATATCAACAACTGGCCGGGGTTCCTCTGGAGTCGGTTTGACAGCTGCTGTTACTTCTGATCAAGAAACAGGTAATTGCATTAGTTATGGCACAACTGAAATACATGCTGAAACTGGCTATCTCATTTATATGAATTTACACAAGCAACCCATAGTGGTCTATCTTTTTATGAATTTACTGTGGATTCAATAAACCCACCCATCCCTGTCCATGTCTTACTAGTTACTATCTACACAAGTCTGAGTAATTTCTAATACTTGAAATTACTAATTACAGAAATTGGCATTGTTTTTAAATTGAAACAGGAGAAAGAAGACTTGAAGCTGGTGCCATGGTTCTTGCCGATAGAGGTGTTGTGTGTATTGATGAGTTTGATAAGATGAACGATCAAGATCGTGTGGCTATACATGAAGTTATGGAACAGCAGACTGTAACCATTGCCAAAGCTGGAATACATGCATCCTTGAATGCTCGGTGCAGTGTTGTGGCAGCTGCAAATCCCATATATGGCTCTGTGAGTTGATCAAATTTTTTAATTTAGGTTAACCTTATGTAAAATACTACGTACTTAATAATACTCATCTTGGCACATGACAGTATGATCGCTCAATAACACCTACAAAGAACATCGGGCTTCCAGACTCCTTGCTTTCACGTTTTGATTTGCTCTTTATTGTTTTGGATCAAATGGATCCAGGGATTGACCGTCAAATCTCTGAGCATGTTTTGCGTATGCATCGGTACCGATCAGCTATGGATGGAGGTAGCCAAGTTTTTACATATCAGAATATATGTGAATGTGTTCCTCCATTTTGCTTCATCTTGTAGATCTTAAGAAACTTCAACTGTTAGGTGGAACTATAGAAGAGAAGTCAATATATGAAGAGGAAAATGAAGATGATAATAATCTGGCTGTGTATGTCAAATATAACCGTATGCTACATGGAATGAATACAAGCCGAAGTCGCAAGAAAGACACCCTCACCATCAAGTTTCTGAAGACATATATTCATTATGCAAAGACCAGGATTCAACCTGAGCTGACCGATGAGGTCTTGTACTTTCAGAATGCATTTCGCTAACCATCCTTATTTCCTTTTGTTAATTTGTTCTATAATCTTCTTTAAATTTTCACCATCTATACACTTTCCGTCATGTGTTGCACCATCTTGAATCTTGATTTTAATCTTTAAGCATCTCTAGTGTTCTTCTACATAGTCATTTGTGAACGGTGTAACTCTACGCTGATAAATTAACTTTTGCAGGCATCTGACCACATTGCAACTACATATGCTGAGCTCAGAAATGCCAGTGCAAGTGCTAAGGTTGGTAAATATTGCTCATAATAGCCCATATCCTTCATAACTTAATGCTTGGTTTGGCTTAAGGTAGAAACTGAGAAGAGAGAAAGAGGAGAAAAAAGTGAAAAGGAGAAAAAGGTGTGAAATAGAGTAGATCATGGGGGTCCTTGACTCCTTTGGTATATGAAAAAAAAGTAGCGGAATAAGTTTTTCCATAATTAAAATGATATCATCTAAGAAAGGAAAAGGGCAAGAATCCTCAATTCCAAAAGAAATGAGTTAACCATTTCCAAGCATAAGTTTGTAAAAGCTTTTCTTGAGCTGCTTTCTTCATTATTGTAGTGGAATAAAAAAGAACTTGGAGTCCATTATACTAAACTCTCTTCCTTCCGTATGTAAATCTTGCCAAACTAAAGAAAAAACAGCTTTTCCCTAATCTCTCTCCCTATTCTTCCTCTTGTTGTTCTACTGCAACAAAGGATAAATGAAAAATGTTTATAATGCATTTTGATAGGCTGGGGGAGGGACGCTTCCAATCACTGCTAGAACCTTAGAAACAATAATACGGTTATCGACAGCCCATGCCAAGCTGAAGTTGAGAAGACAGGTATTTATCTTAACAAAATTCAGCTCATAACCTGATCTTTTACAAGATGAAATCACATATTTCTAAAAAACTGATTACTGCATTGTTATTGTGACTTATTGATTGTAAAAAGAAAGTAATAGTACTGTTTAATATTGAGACATTTCATTGTTTTCTGGTTGTTCTTAGAATGGTTTCATGTCACGTACGGAGTGCTTTTTTGCAGGTCCTGAAGTCTGATGTAGAAGCTGCCCTTCAAGTTCTAAACTTTGCGATATATCATCAAGAGCTGACAGAGATGGAGGAGCGTGAGAAAGAGAGAGTGAGTGAGTTGGAAAGGAGACGTAGAGCTGGGCACAATGATGGTGATGATGCTGGAACAAACAGAGATGATCACACTACTGCAGATACAGATGAAACTAGTAATGATGGAAGTAAAAAGCAAAATAGCAATAATGATGGTAGCTCTACTACAAGAACGAGGTGAGTATAAACATCTGAATGCTTCATGTCTAATTTACTCTCTCTCTGTCACGTACAGATAGACCACACGTGACATTTTTGTTCAAAGATGATGCATTGCGACCAATTTTTTTCTAATCGATATATTTGAATGGAAGTACATGTTCTGTACTTCTAGGAGTGATTCCTCAACAAACAACATTTTTTTATATTTCTTTCACTCTATTATTCATTATTTATAAAATGTGTTAATGGTTAAAGATAATATCTTTGCCCAAAAAATTCAAACATGGCCTTATCTTTGTGGGATGGAGGTAGTACATACCTTGATGAATAGGCAACCATTGATGTACAAATGAAGGCCTAAACATACTCATCGGAAAGTCCAGGACTGGATGTGGATGGTGTTTGTTATACATTATCCTCACTTTTTCTTTTTTTCTGTATTAGCGAACATGAAGCTATGGCAGTAGATGACCCTCCATCTGAGCCTAGCATATCCCCAGAGAGGTTTGTGTCCTATTCTTTTTATCACTGGATCCTCGGAGCTACATTTTTTTCTTTTCCAATAATCTATGGAAAGTATACATATATTTTTCATTGCTTGTAGATTGGAAGCATTTAGCTCAGTTCTTGGTAGGCACAGGCATGCACACCACTTAGAGCAAATGTCCATTGCTGATGTTGGGGGTGTTGTAAACAATGGGATAGCACTACCTTATTCAAACTCAGAGATAATGTCTATTTTAAAGGTATAGATATTTAAATACATATCAATAGTTATTATTAATAAGCATATGCATACTCTCTCTATCTCACATGCAGATAGTTTCAATTAAGAGGGCGTTTGGCTGCCATAGAAATTATCACCTTCCTAGGAATATGAAAATGATAGGGTGAAGAAATATGAATGAAAGTATAGCAGAAGTATAGAACAGGATAGAATCATAGTTGTCATGGTGGCTAGGTGAGGTGTGGCGCCAATGGACCGCGTTATCGCCTAGGCGTCTGTACAATAATGCAAGTGTAGCAGACATTTATTCAAAGGGACGGAAAGAAATGTTAGATGGACTCCAACTGTATATAAAGTGTACAGTAAGAAATCCTTACTCCGTATGACATGGGTTAAAGATTAAAAGATAAGTCCAGCCAAACAAATTGGAATAAAGCAAAAGACGACAGTGACTTTAAAAACCGGGAACGAGAGAGATGGAACCTGACCGGCGGCATCGATGAGTGGTGATGACCAGAGGTGGTGACCTGCGACGGCGACCTGGCTGACATTGAAGAGCCTAGGGTTCTGGCCTACGGGTTGGTCGGTGAAAACTGGACATGGGCGTCACCATGAAGATTTCCAGACGCCTAATCGACGTCAAATTATGCCTAATCAACAGCGTCACTCTTCCACTGCCAAGATGACAGGACGACTGGGCAGTGCTTAGGCGACACTGAAACAACTATGGATAGAATGCGGGAAAGTAAAATAATACTTCCTTGACCCGAAATTGATGTGCAACCTGTGGTCTGTAAGATTGACTGACCACAAAATTGAATCTATCCAACAAATTGTTATCAGTTTCATGAATTAAAATTTATATATTCAAAAACTACATCAAAGTAAATGATAAAGTCAACATCAACATCCGTGCCTTATTCCCAAAAGATTTTGGGTTAGTAGGAAAATGGATATGGTAATATCATTTGCAGCAAATTTGAATCTATACCAAGCATAGATAAAATAAAACGAAATTTTGTTGACCAATAAAATTAAAATTATAGAGTTATGTTGGGATGGATTTAGCCCGCCCTATTTTATATTTATAGGGAGTAAACATTGTTATCCTAGGTTGACTACTTTTTAGTACGAACGACTTGGAGAACTAGCTACACTGATTGTAAGGTTATCCCAGGTGAGAGTGCTATCACTCAACATAGGATGCTTGTGCTTGATTTTCAAGGTATACAAAGGAGAGTTAAAGTACAAGGGGAGCCAAAGATAAAGTGGTGGAGGCTCGAGGGGAATCTCCAACAAACTTTTGCACATAAAATGTTGGAGGAAGATGTATGGTCCATTGATAATGACGCACATGTGGATGATGTGTGGTTATCAATGCAGTCCACCTTTAACAAAGTGGCGAAAGAGATACTTCGAGAATCTAAAGGATGTCTACCACAAAAAAAGGACACATCTTGGCGGAATGATGAGGTAAAACAAGCAATTAGGATCAAAAGGGATTGCTATAAGAAATTGGGCAAAATTTGGAGTGACGAGAACATAGAGGAGTACAAGGAGGCTAGAAGAAGAGCAAATAAAGCTGTAAAGGAAGCAAGAGGAAAAGTGAACAAAGAATTGTATGCAAAATTGAACTCTAAGGAAGGAGAAAAAGATATTTACAGACTTGCTTGTCTTCGTGACCGTAGGACTCAAGATATTGAAAAAGTTAAGTGTGTGAAGGATGTCGATCAAAGGGTACTAATGGAGGACAGAGAGATAAAAGAGAGGTGGAGGTCATACTTTGATACACTATTCAATGGGAACAAAGTGCAAGATATCTGTTATTTGACCATACCAGATTGTATGGTAAATCGTGATTTTGTGAGAAGGATCCAAACAATGGAAGTTAAAGAGGCTCTGAGGAAGATGGGGCGGAAGAAAGCAGTGGGTTTAGATGACATACCGATCGAGGCTTGAAGAAGTTTGGGAGAGAGAGGCGTCGCGTGGTTAACAAGTTTCTTCAACATGATTTAGAGAAACAACAAGATGCCAACAAGTTGGAGGAAGATTACTCTTATCCCCTTATTCAAGAATAAATATGTTGTACAAGAATGTGCCAACTATCGAGGGATTAAACTTATGAGTCACACCATGAAACTTTGGGAGCGAGTTATTAAGCAAAGACTTCGAAGAACTGCGAAGATTTCAGAGAATCAATTCGGTTTTATGTCTGGTCGCTCAACAATTGAGGCCATTCACCTTCTTCGACAACTTATGAAGAAGTTTAGAGACGCTCACAATGATCTGCATTTGGTGTTCATTGACTTAGAAAAGGCTTATGATAGGGTACCTTGAGAAGTTCTTTGGTGGGCCTTAATTAGAAAAGGCATATCACGCAAGTATATCAACATCATCATGGATATGTATGAGGACTGCGGAGTTCCCTATTACCAAGGATCGGCTCTGAGCCCTTTCTTATTTGTTATAGTCATGGATGAACTTACGAAGTCAATTCAAGACAAAATACCTTGGTGCATGATGTTTGCCAACGATATTGTATTGATTGATGAGACGCAATCAGGTCTTAAAGCAAAGTTGGAAGTATAGCGGGAAACATTGGAGAACAAGGGTTTCAAACTAAGTCGGAACAAGATTGAGTACATGGAGTGCAAGTTTGGTGGAGGTAGAAGCAGTGGTAATAGCGGAATTACTCTAGATGGTAAGGAGATACCGGTCAACGATATGTTCCGTTACTTGGGCTCCATAATTCACAAGGACGATGAGTTAGATGGAGATGTATCCCATAGAAACAGAACAGGGTGGATGAAGTGGAAGAGTGCGTCAGGATTTCTATGCGATAAAGGTATGTTGACTAGACTGTAGGGTAAGTTTTATATGACAACAATTAGGCCTGCATTACTGTATGACGTAGAGTGTTGGGCTGTGAAACAATGTCACATTCATAAGATGAGTGTGACGGAGATGCGAATGCTGTGTTGGATGTGTGGGCATACTAGGAAAAACCACGTGAGGAACAAGACAATCAGACAAAGAGTGAGAGTAGCACCTATTGAAGACAAGATGCGGGAGTCGCGCTTACAGTGGTTTGGTCATGTGCGTAGAAGACCGAGTGATGCACCTGTCAGACGAGTTGAGATGTGTGGAGAAGATGCAGGGAAGAGAAGGGGAGGAAAGCCCAAACAGACGTGGGCTAGGGGAGTCCAAAGTGATACGCTTCATCTTGGGTTAGATGTGGGTATGGCTTTGGAGAGAGCATAGTGGAAGGCGGGTATTCGTGTGGAGGAGTGATCTCATATTATCTTTTCCCCTCATTTTTTTTCTTGTTTTCTATCCTTTTATCCTTATATATATAAACATTATTTTTATCCTTTTTATTTTATCATTTTTAGGTATATTCATTTCTTTTTATATTCTCTTTTTCATAATAGCTTATCTTTTTATCATTATTTTCTTTCTTTTCCTTTTGGTGGTGATATCATGTATCGATTCATGTTAGCTGACCCCAATATCTTTTGGGACTAAGGCTTGATTGTTGTTGTTATAGGGAGCAAAAATTGTTCATTTTTTGGAAAATAACTTTAATATCAACCAACAATTATACTAACAATTATACGTATTATGTGGAAATATAATCATCTCGTATAAAGCTTGTAGTGAACTGTTCAAGTATAATGAAATAATACGGAGGCACTTTCTGACATCTAATCGGGTAATTTAGATCATTTAAAGCTTGTAGTAAACCATCAAACAAAGCTTGTTTGATGGTAACAAAAAGCTTGTTTGATGGTTTGCTATCAAATAATACCAATTATAATCGACAAACCGATAATAATACCATTGACTATCTCATACTCCAACTATTCAAGTATATAACAAAATAGTACACATGCAGTTTCTGACATCTAACTCAGGTAATAAATCATTTAAAACTTGTAGTAAACCTTCAAACAAAGCTTGTTTGATGGTAACAAAAAGCTTGTTTGATGGTTTGATATCATTTTTGTTAGATTAAATGACTGAATCTTATGTTAAAAATAGAATCATACTAGTACGTAGTATTATTTTTGTTAAATATTTGAATAGTTTAGATATGAAATAGCTGTTTCTAAAGGATGTATTATTATTAATTTTTCGATTATAGTTTAGATATTTCCCCATTTTTTTAAAAATTCAATAAAATAAAGACTAAATCTAAACATGCCCACCTACATAGAATTTCCTCTTTCCTTTTTATATCGTCTAAAAACTATCCCCTATTTCCTTTTATGTTTCATACTATTTCCTTTTTGGACACGATTTTCACCATGGGTCATCCAGAAACAGTCTCTCTGTACTTTAGTACAGGGGTAAGACTGCGTACATCCGATCCTTTTCATTTACTTGATCCTTGTGTCCGGTGAAAGTCTTTTAGTTGCAGACTGAGAGTGTATTTCATTCTGCTTTTCATTTTTGAAGGTAACACTAAACACAAAAACATAACTTCCAATAGCGTTGTTTCTTTTCCCATTTTCTAGCATTTTCTGCTATCCAAAATACTCTAAGGACCCGTTTGGTTTAAGGAATGTTAGATTATCGTGGGAATGTTAGATTGTTGGGTATGTTAGATTGATGTAAATGTATTCAATTTGTATCACATTTGTGTTTGGTTAAATGATATCTTATACAACAGACTTGGTGAGTTACTTCAATGTCCTCCAAATATTTTCTCTTAACATAATAAATTGGATTGCCTGCCACCAACAGACTAGAGAGTTAGGGGGCAATTAATTAATTAGGTTAGAGATAAAAATTTAATGTTTAATTCTATTTAGGGAAGATCAGAGATTGACTCCTATTTATGAAAAGTTGTATGTTACTACGTATGTTTTACTCCTATTAAAGGCAATAAATTTTTAATGAATCAAATTCAAAAGTATACATGCATTTCTTGACAAATACCGATGGGTTTCTTTCAAAAGAAATTCAATAGGGATGGGTTAAGAAAAAATGTTATTTAAACATTTTGATTAGATGAGAATGGGTATTTTTAGAATAAAATTCATTCTCACCAAGGCGTCTAAGATAACCTAAGAGCCAAGTGTTTTTGAGATCAAGGGCCATCATATTACTGTCTTCTCTTTTTTGGAATGCAACATTCCCCCCAAAAAATCAAAACCCGCTAACCAAACACGAATATTTCACATTCGAGACATCAGATTGACAGATGCTGGCCTGCATAGGTGATTACCTCAAACCAAACATGCCCTAAGAGCGTTGAAAGGCAGAACGCATTGAATTGCTTTGTTGTGCCACATTAAAGGCCTGGACAACTAATCGTGTTGTAATTTTGCAGATAATGCAGGAAAAAGATCTGTTGATGATACACAGGGACACAAACACTGGTGCAGATATCATTTACTTCATGTAGCGTTGTTTATCGTAGATCTACATTTGTTGCTCAGTGATACTTTCTATTAAGCATTATATACCAGAGCAGTAGAATGTGTTCCGTTCTGAGATTGTCACAAGTTACGCTAGTACAATTATCTTTTTCCTTGTCCAAGACAAAAACATGGGAAAAGTGGCAATGTGGCACCACCATTTTGGGCCCTTCCGTTCTTAAACGTTCTTGGAGCTTAGTTAGGGCCTTCCCTGAGAAACGGGGACCCCGTGCAACAACAAAAAATTGGGTCTTTTTTCCATGACCGGATGGATATTTTTTGAGAACATAATTATATCAAATACGAAGTACTATGTACCAATTATCGAAATTTTCTCCTAATCTTGTACGTGTTTAAGAAATTTTGTTAAAATTCAATTTACATTTTTAGTGAAATCATAAAATAATTATAATTTATAAATCCAAAGTTAATACTTAGTATTTACTTATAACATACTTACCCCAATTTCTTAAATCTTGAATTATTGTTAAACACACTTATTCTCAATTCAATTACTTAATAAGTAATAAATTACTACAATAAATAGACAAATAACAACAAGGGAAGTAGGCATTTAGGCAAAAAACTAAAATAAAAGAATCGGCCCTGTTGCCAAATCAAAGTACAAAGAATCAAAGAAATGAGAAAATCACAGTGTTTAGTTGCTTGATCCACATACGTAAAAATCGTTGAGTTCATCTTAAAGACTTAAACTCTCACCGACTCCATCTTCTCATTCAGAATAATTTTATTCGTCCCATTCTTCACATCTCAAAATTAATGTCAAGCTTTCATTACAAACACTGATATTTTTCTTCCCTCGTAAACTATTTCATTAAAGTACGGAGGATGTCTCCTTTTTAGCTTTCTCAAATCTCAAGTGATTTATCCGACACTGTTAGTTTCGGTGAATGAAATGGTTTTCTCCACATTTTTAATTATTTTGATTATAGTTCAATAAACAAAGACTTCACAATTCCGGATGTGAGGAGTAAATATCTTCTCTGTTTTATTCTTGACCTGTCAAATTATTGTGGATAGATTAACACAAACATTAACTCCATATTTATGTTTTTTCATTTTTCTTTCAGAGGAATAATCAATAATTTGTTTACGAGTATCACCAATAGGGTTGGGCCGGGCCGGGGACGGTTTTGGGCGGGACTGAGGTTTGGGAAATGAGGCCCGATACCGGCCCGTGTTGGAACTGGGACCGTGCCAGGCCGGGCTACCAAGACGGGTCTCAAGTCGGGTTCGGGCTTTTCTTTTGTCAACTTTTGTTTAAAAATGAATACAACAATGCTAGACAATAAAAGGTAAACTTATATTTATTTGGAATAAGAACTAGACTTAAGAATTGAGAAAATTTTAAAACATTAAATACGTTTCCTAAAATTCTAAAAATCATTCGGAATCTCCAGCACCGTCGGTTGTTTCCTCCATGAAGTGGCGGGTGGGGGTGATGCCAACTTCTTGAGTTCTAAGCTCGTCCTTCAACCAACCGTGGAAGCAAACAAGCGATTCTAGAGATTTTGCGCTCAATCTCGTTGTATAATTTGTTAAGACGTTGCCAGCTGCACTAAATTTTTGTTCCATGACAACTGTTGATACTGGCATTGCTATCACTTGCTTAGCCAGTTTGATAAAACCGAGAACGTTCTTTCTTTGTCCTTCTACCATTGCAGAATATCAAACTCTTCCCCATCTTCATAGTCAATGGGAAACATTAGATATAAAGAAAACTCGTTAATCGAGCTTTGTGCAACTGCTGGAGTTGATTTACTTTTTTCATAAGATTGCCAAATTTAGATTTCAAAAATGATTTTCCTTTAGATGAAGAAGATGTTCGTGTTGGTGGACGGGGTGCGTTACCATATTGTGCATGAAACTCATTATATAATTGATGAAATAAGTTACTAACATTGTATTGCTCTTTAGGATCTATGTGCTTCTCTTCGTACATAGGAAATAGACAAAAAAGAAGCATAATAGTACTCTAAGTCTAAACATTGTGGCAAAGCATTAAGTCTGAAATGAGGATCAAGAATAAATGTAATACCATATATATGCGGAATATGTGAATAATATTTAAAAACTTTTCTTTCATGAAATCACAAAAATGATGAACATAAGGGGAATAAAAAATTCACAAAAAGCACCGGCGAGATTAACAGCTTCAACAAAAAATTGGTTTGAGGTAAATTTATAAACATGACTAAAGGTTGCATTATTAAAATATACCAAAATATTCACAATTTTTTGCATAGTGTCTATGTTAGCCGAATTTATGATATAATTAGCATATTCTTTTAAAAAAGCAAGAAAATGGTCTTTAAATCTCATAAGTACAACAATAAAGTTATAAGTACTATTCCAGCGAATAGACAAATTTTTAGGAAATTGACAATATTTCACACGTCTATCCCTCAAATATTGACGCCATTGCATTTTAAGTGGATTACTAGGCCAAATAAGTCTAATTTCTCCCTTCACGATCTCCATAGCATCTCCTTACGCAGCTAGCCATCTTTTACACATAAGTTGAGAATATGACATGCACAATGCTGATGAAAAACCTACCCATTAAACTAGAATGACCACACAATTTACACAAACTAGGTATAACAGCAGTATTATTACTAGCATTATAAAAATCCCATAGCAAACACCTTATCAATCAAATTATACCCAATTAAAATACGATCAATGAGAATATAAATATTATCACCAGTGTGTCGCTCATTAAATTCATGAAAAGCAATAACACGTTTACGCATTTGCCAATCATCATCAATATAATGTGCAGTTACACCCAAATAATACAAGAGATAATTTGAGTTTGCATCCCATTTTATTGTCCAAATTGGACTTTGCACCCCGTTTCTAAAAATCTTGTTTTTGCACCCCCAACCCCATGTGAAAAGACAAAAATGCCCCTCCATTAACAATTATGTTGGCCTTCAACATATTTCTGATCGAGGGCATTTTTGTCTTTTCATATGGGGTTGGGTTGCAAAAATAAAGTTTTTCAAAAACGGGGTGCAATGTCCAATTTGAACAATTATGTGGGGTGCAAAAATAATGATGATAAGTATCCTCTCATATATCACTACAAATACTAACATGTCCATCAAAGTTTGCGATTTTTTTAATATATCCTTTTCCAAAACATATTGTTGTATCACTTCTTTTTTAATGGTTTTGCGACTATAATTTCTAAACTGTGGATTTAAGGAACCTTGACCATAGGCTTTTAAAGCAAGACTTTCAGAAAAAAATAAAAGACAAATTTTCGTCAACAATTAAGTGAGACATAACAGTTAAATGTTTGGAATCATCATAAGAGAAATTACCATAGGGTTGGTCAGTTGCAAACCTCGATATTTGAGTTTGCTTCCTCTCGCCTTTTAATTTCGCATACTCCACAGGGTGTTGGCCTTTAATATGCCTATCGGCGCCGCCGTATCCTTGTCAAATCCCCAAGCTAATATCTTTCTTACAATGATTGAAAGTTGCGTACCACTTCTCAGTCTCCGGGTCCTTCCACTTTGTAGGAACTCAGCCAATACCAACACATTTTTTGAAATTATTTTTCATAAGGAGAGATTCACCTATTTTACCGGGTCGGGATGAACTAGCCTCATCCTCATCGTGGGTCTCATTGTCCGGGGTTTGAGAGCTGTCTTGTTTGTCCTCGACCGTCGCCAGATCCTCCTCCTCCGCGTCCTCATCCTCGAGCTCTTCCTCAATGTTGGGGATGTCATGTTGTTGGTAAAAGCGCCCATCCCGTTGGGCTAATAGTTGTTGTAGTTGCGCGTCAGACATCACATCTGCATCTCTCCGTTGGTAATCTGTTTCAAAATCATCTCGGCTTTGAGAAGATCGAAGACCCGATATGTCCTTCACCTTTGCGTGAAGTAGGATGATTCCTCCCAATCTTCTTCTTTTGGTTGCGCTAGGGGTTACCCATATCTACAAAATGTCTATCATGTTCCATCTTAAAATGTAACAAATATTAAATTTTAACAAATATGTTAATGTGAGTACAAAACAATGCAAGTAATAACAAATGAAAGTAATTTGTAACAATACTTAAAAACTCACTTTTATAGTAAAATGTAAGTAATGTGATTATAATATAACAAGTTTAGTAACAAGTTTAATAAATACTTTAAACTAACAAGTGTGGTAAAATTAAATAAATCTCCAACTAGTTTAATACTTTAATTAACTAAAATTCGAACTACTCTTATATTTAAATCTAACAAGTGTAGTAAAATTAAGTAAAGTTCCAACTAGTTTAATAGTTTAATTACCTAAAATTCGAACTACTGTTATATTTAAACCTAACAAGTGTAGTAAAATTAACTAAAATTCCAAGTAATTTAATAGTTTAATAAACTAAAATTCCAACTACTTTTATATTTTAATAGTTTAATTAGCTAAAAATTCTAACTACTCTTATATTTAAATCTAACAAGGTGTAGTAAAATTAACTAAAAATGCAACTAGTTTAATAGTTTAATTAACTAACATTTGAACTACTTTTATATTTAAATCTAACAAGTGTAATAAAATTAACTAAAATTCCAACTACTTTAATAGTTTAATCAACTAAAATTCCAACCACTTTTATATTTTAATCTAACATGTGTGATGCGTACTATTTAGTAGTGCATAAACACCACATTTTAGAATGATTTTACATCATATTTACTTGACTTTTGTACAATTACGGTGTAATCTTTATCTTCTAAAATTAAAGTAGAATTAGAAGATATTTAAGATATTTTGAGATGTAAGCAAAAATATGATGAAAAGAAGAGGAAGGAGCTTGGGAGCATAAGGAAGGAGAATTGGAGACAAGAGGAAGCTTCATGGAGGACAAAGAAATGTGAAAAATCGGATATGATTTGACGCGAAGATCATAAGAGATCAAATAAAGCAAGTGAACATGGGAAAATCAGATTATATCTTAGACCCAACCACCTCACTCCTCCTATAAAAACACCCCTTTTCTTCCTATTTTAGATACCGATTAATCCCTCTTTCATATACACATTATTCTTGTACTTTAGGTAGTCTTTTGAGCTTGGTTTTGCTCTTGAAGCTTGTTGATTATTAAAGTTGTGAGTTATTTTCTTAACTTCTTCCCTTGAATATTAATTCTTCCCTTAATCTATCTCTATATTAATGTTGAGGAGTGTTGCTAAGATGACAATTAGTTAACATCTCGACATTAATTACTACTAGAAACGATCAATGAACCGATGGTTAATCGTTGATGGTTTCACAAGTAAGTAACCTCGGTTTATTAATGCACGGTTGTTA